CACACACACACACACACACACACACACACACACACACACACACACACACACACACACACAGGGGTCTGTGGGTCACAGTGCAACGAGACAGCTGAGCCATTCCCAGAGTCCCTGGGGAAACAATTACACTGAGCAGAGGCAGCGGAGTCGGACAGGGGGCTGGAAAATTAATGATGGGCTCATGACCGGCTGCCACTGGCTCATGACTCAAACTGTTAGAGAAGCTCATACACAGAGAGGATGGCGTCCCCTGGTGGTACGTATATCTCTCTGTCTGTCTAAAGTTCAGTATATGTAGAATGTACTGTCATCTAGTGGTAAAATTGCAGATTGCAACCAGCTGAATAGAGGAACCTACTTTTGCTTCAGGTAACATTAAAACATGAAATTCTCTCTCCACAGTCAGTGTTTGAATGAATCTAAATTAAAAAATAAAAAGATATATGTGAGTGTGTGAAAGCTTGAATCCAGTTAAGGAGACAGTTGGGCCTTAAGCTACATTTCAACACATTTGAAAGTTATTATTATTATTAATGGCAGGCTGTAGTCTGAGCCACACACATCAGTGCAGACTTAAAGAAAAGAACCTGGATGGGACAGAAAACCCATTAATCACATTTTTCCTATATTTCCTAATGAATAGGATGTTTCATTCTAAAAAACAGAACAACCATAATCATGTCTGAGCTGATAATTATCTAAGCACACACTTTTCCTTAATAGTACCATTGTTCAGACACAGTGTAAAAGCCAGACCTCCACCATCCTTCCTCCCTCTGCCGCCACCTCCCCCACAACCCCCTCCAGCTGCCTCCTCTTCTCCCCCTCTGATCAACCACCCCCCTCACCCACACACCCACCCACCCCACCCGCCTCCCTCCCTCTCGTGGCCTGTTGCCATGGAAGCTGATTGGAAGGATCACTCTGTCTCTCCCCACACATTGCCACTCCATCCTCGGTGAGGAGGAAACAAAAGCGAGTCAGAGCACAGCACAAAACCAAAAAATAAAAAACTGAACTAAGACAAGATGTCCATCTCAATTTCTTCATTTTCTTGCTTCATTCAAAAACAAGAAGAGGAAATGTGAAGCCCTATGACTTCAATACTTTATCTTTGTCCACACAAACTCAAGGCTGAGGCTTATAATAGATTTATTTTTGTTACTTTTCAAACCAAGCAAGACTATAATGGGAGAAGTGAACGTTCAGGGTCCAGCATCGCTATAGCAACGATGTTAGGGTGAGTGGTTAATCACGTGTGTCTGAAAGCTTTGTTGTACATTGATGTTTTGTGCTGTTTGTATTGTAAAAATATGGTCTGTTTACAATATGGCTGATATTTTCAATGTGCAAATAAAAAAACCTCTGAGTTTTCAGAACCGAGCGGAGCGATAAAGAGAATTTAAATTCATCATGTTAACTCCGTAAGAACCACAACCCGAAAAAACAAAGCAAAGCTAAATCTTTCAAACTGATGATTCTTTTCTTAGTTTATCTGTCTCTTAGTAAACTCAAAAAACTACTGGATGGTAACTTAACCTGTGTCTGTGGAATTTTTTGCAGATACAAATAAAAAATGGATTTATTTTAATTTAAAGGTGGTTTCATAAGAGGACTGTTGGGCCTTGGCAAAGGTATGTGTGTCCTTCTAGTTTTCATTTTGGAATGAATCAACTCAGGGCCGTAGCTACACTGAGGACAATAGCTGTGACCTGGTTCAGGGGCCACAATCAGTCCACAGAGGGGGTGGCCTTCTAGGACCGATGAAGGCCGAACTGCAATAATATGGGATGCAGTGCCAGAAGTGAGACACAGACAGTGAGGTCATGTTGTGAGACCTTCACACCATGATCAAATTCACAGAAAACATGAATTAAGAGTCAAATAAATTCCACCCTGATCTGATTCCTGACTCATTCAGGTCTATTTTCAGGTTTGTTGTGACGCATTTACTCTGCACATCATGCTCCAAGGTTTAAGTGTGAAGTGTAGTTCGGATGTGACTAATACCTGGAAAGTGCATGTCTGCAGCTTTAAATGAACTGAAGCATCATGTGTCATCATCCATCAGCGACTTCTCAAACTGTTTCAAACATCGGCACTGAACAAGTGAAGCAGCTGCAATAATAGAAACAGTGGATTGTTTGAAACATGATGTTACCGCTGTCCCTGCACAATTTCTGACTTCATGACGTCAATGATAACGTGATAGGATTTTCTGATCATTATTTGCTTTAGATTGTGTCTGTACCTCTATTATTTTTGGAGACATCTTGGAAATTGTGTTTTTCAGACCATATTTTTGTCGCCCTTAACCTCTGATGCTCCCAAATAAATATTCCCATAAACTAATAAATAATTTGACATGGGTGAGTAAGATATTTCTCAATCAGGTATTCACC